AGTGTGAAAATTCTAAATAGAAACTTAGTGAAATAAACAACTCATAAGTTTTAAACTATGCAACATCCTCAGGTGAAATTTCTCACTCCTTCTCTATTTAACCTGAAATCTCAATCAGCCCTTTAACCAGCGCATCCATGTTGTGTGTGCTTCCCCCCCCATGGTAGCCTGTGCAGTTATCAAATTGACTTTCATGGGATTACAGTGTTTAAGAGCCTTTATGTAACAGTCTAATGCTACAATCACAATGCCTATATCATTGACCCCACTTCATCTCATCGGACAAGCATTTCACCATCTCACATTATTATAAGAAAGGAGAGTGCATTCCAACAAGGGGTTGAATAAAGTGAGTGATAGCATAGTGCCATAAATTTTATTATAGCATATTGTCATAAGTATTCTCTTTTATTAGTTATTCTTAATCTCTTCCTATGTCTAATTTATAAATTAAACTTTATCATAGGTATGTATGCATGAATAGGAAAACAGTAAACTATATAGAGTTAGGTATTCCCTGTGCTTTTAGGCATCCACAGTGGGAGGCTGGCACAACCTACCATAGATTACAGGGGACAGCTCTACTTATCCATTTTCTGATTCTTTCTGCCTACATAACTAAAGGTTGCTCTTCGTCCCTTTCTCAGACTCTAAGTCTGACACCAAGCACAGCTATGCCTTTAATAAACCAGCTTTGACTTTTCTCACTGAATAACAACCTCTATATACCCTTCCTTTAGATGACTTTATGTCAGAGACAAAGAAGCTAGTCACCATCCTTGGTCTGTTGTTACATTTAATAGTGCTTCATTCTTCTGCCTTGAACTGTCTTCCTTTGTGGGCCATCTCAAGTCCCCATTTGTAGTATCTGCTTGTGTACATAAATCCATGTGGGTGCAACACTAGACAAACATAATTTCATGAATGGAAAGGCAAGGGAACTAATACAAACTCAACCTTACAGATTCCCAACTTACCCATTTTAACATCAGTGCACATGAGATGTGATTTCTCATCGTTGGAGGAAGCCCTCAAGTACCTAGTTGCTTTAATCCTGAACAGCAGCTTGGTTCAGACTCTTCATTCTGCTATTCCTGTCTAGAATTCCTCTAAGATAACCAGTTGGAAATTAATCTAAAACCACAGTTATTTAACCAGAAAAACCTATGCCTAGGCATGATTGGTGTGATTGCCCCAGAGACTTCAACAACTTTTAACAGGATGTATATGTACAAAATACTCAATTTTCTGTTTTCCTCATGTGTGTTTGGAAATGCCCATTAAGCTGATGGTCATAAGAGCATGTGCTATCTTCTCTAACATCACAATCTGTAAACTATTCCCCAGGAATTCAAGGACCACTTGGCTTCCCTTCATAACTAGAAGGAGGGGAAAATCTTGCATTTTGTAAGAATTTATTATCTATCTTTTAAAACAAATAGTATTTAGTAAAGAGCCATATATAAGCAGATACATAGAGTTTTAGATGTCACAGTAGCATATCTAGAGGAGTTGCCAGAATTGAGGGCAAATAGGCTGGGTGGCAGTAAGCAGCTCCCGCTGTGACATCTCCTTTGGTATTCTGGAGCATCTTCAGTCCTGGGCCTCCCTAGCATTCGGAGTAGCAGAAGCATTGCCTCCAGCCAACACCCCCAATGTGTTCTACTATTTCAGAAAATACTAATCAGTAGAATTTACCCACCTGGAAACTTTAGACCAACATAAACTCAGCTTAATCCTACCTTAAGGATAATTCCTCCTCAATTACATTTATTAACAATATCATTATCATACAGAACATGCTTCCATATTTACTGTGCATCAGGCACTCTTTAAAAATTTTCCATACATTCATCTATTTAATTCCTCTAGCCATCTAACTTCAGTGCTAGTATAAGCAGCCCCCTTCCTTCCCACAAATAATAAGAGAACTGGAAGCAAAGTGCTTGGGTGATTTGTCAGAGGAGACACACTGCTAATCGGCAGGGAGCCAGAAAGCCCCACTATCAAACTTATTTTTAGACTGAAATTTTCACTTTTTCTTTCCTTAACATGCAGAATAGCTAAAAGTAAAAAATACAAAATACATAGTATAATCTTAAAGCATTTTTTGGGGGGGTTGGGTTTTTTTTGGAGACAGGTTCTCACTATGTAATGCTGTCTGTCTGACTCACTATGTTGGTCAGGCTGGCCTCAAACTCACAGAGATCTGCCTATCTCTGCCTCCTAAGTGCTAGGAATAAAAGCATGCAAACACCACACCCAGGAAAAAAGAATATTTTGGTTATAAATGTATATTGTCATGATTTAGCTAGTGAGTAATTACATTTCAGGTTAGCTCATCCCTTTACTACTAGTGAGTTAAGCTGACAGATTGGTTCTTTGGTTTAGGAAGAAATGAGTCCTTAGCATCTGCTGCACTTTTTTAACCATACTTACTCAGGAAACATAGTATTTTTTGAAAGAGTAAAAAAGGCCATGGAACAAGTCTACCCTAATAAAAACACTTGACCAAGAGAGTCTGGTCAGAGAAGATGTCCTGCCAGGTGAGTATCAAAACAGATATCAATATATAGAAATAACATCATCAAACTGGGTGCTCACAGTATTCCCTAGAACCTGAGTAGGGAAGCTGAGGAAGTCAGTTGGAGTTCCCAGTTGAGCTTTCTTTCCATGGCTGAACTTTTGGCTTCTCTTTCCCAGTGGGGGCATTTTTTCCCACAGATGTATAAGTGATGGTACCATATGCTAGAATGGTAAGCCTTCTGCCCCATTTTCATTAGTTTTACTTTAGGACTTTTCGCTGTTCTCTTCCTTGCCTGGCATTGAGTGAGCAGTGGGCATCTCACCCCAGACAAAGGGCCTTTGGAGGACACTATGGTGTCCTTGGGTTTGAAACTGGAGGCAATAGCACTTGCAGAGCCTGCTTCTCAGTGAACTCAT